ACAACACATACTTTCTCGCATGATTGATATTATAAATATTGTAATTTGTGCCATACTAAAATCTTAGTTGTAATTTGAAAAAATTCTTATTTAAGCGCATCACCTCTAGTGATTATTTCCATTCATTTGCATTGCTAGGAAGTGTAGTGATTTCTTACTCTTGGAAATGAAACGAGCATGAACATATTTAAAAGCAACAGTATTTACAGAACGTAATACAGAAACGCAACAACAATATCATACAATACTACTTTGATTACAATTGAAGTGGGCTTTATTTATTTTTAGCACTATAATGAATGATTAAAACTTCTTAAAGTATAGACGTGTGTTAGTTCTAATTTAAAATGTATTACCTTCCTTCAATATATTTCCTTTCATAAAAATGTTATCTACATCATACAGTCATCATGACCGAAAACAACGGGATGAATTCGAATAATATTTAAACCTCAGTTTTAATTTTCGAATAGGAATCGCCTGAAACGAAGCGCACGAAATTCGAATTCACAACGTCGAGCACTGAAAATACTTTCTTTACAGTTCTTTGCTGCGTACAAGGATACATATGAACGACAAAAATTGAAGCATTTCTGAAAAAAATAGTTTAAAATGGTTTTAAAGTGTCTACATTAACGAAAATTGTGCAAAAAATATTCATATTTTCGAAATATTGAACTTGATCTCTTTTGAAATGTTGTTTTTGATAAATGCATTTCATTAAGCAAACATTGTATATTCAAAATTGTAGTAAGACCCCGAACAAATTATGAATTAATGCAATTTTCGTAAATGCAGAGTTTTCAAAGACCTGTACCATTCTCTTAAACGTCCTTCAAAATATCAAACAATAAAATTTCTTCAAAAAGTTGATGTATTTTTTTAAATTAAAATATCTCAGGGCTTTATGTTAAGTACCTTCAAAATTTAAAATATCGATTTCAAGTTCGAGAGGCAGCGAAATTAGTCATATCAACAGGAAAAACATATTTTGGAGAAAATCGGCTTAACGGTTTAATAGGAAGCGTTTTTCGCAGAATGATAGACAGACGTTTTGATGTCATTCGATTTTTCGGTTTCAAAGACCCACAAAACAAAGATTCTGGCTACACTACGTGAGAAACAATACTTTTTCTAAATTTAAAATCTGTAATTATTCTTATTTTTGTTTTCCCCGCAACATTACATAACTTTTTCTTTTAAAAAAGTATCTTCCTAAGTGCTAAAAACTCAATGTTTGATTGTTTGTTCGAATTCTATGCGCTGCCGTTACGTTCATCTGATTGCCAAAAATCTTTGTCAACGTATTGATAAAAATTATATAGGCATAGTAAAATGGGAATGTGCGTATGCGTGTCACACATAGACGCGCGTTGATAAAGATTTTGTTTTTATGTTTACTCAAGCGCTCCTGAACAAAAAGACTGTGCAACCCGCCGCACTCTCAAGTATTAAGCGCATCTTGGTTGCATATCCTGCCCCTGCAATTGTGATATATGGACCGCAATTATTACTTGAACGTTATCTCTGACAATCTGGCTATCCAATTTCTCCATGACGGGGTCGTTGCGAATCTATGCCAAAACTTGAGAGAAAACGTTTTAAATATAGAAGACTTGCCAAAAATATATCTCCTTCCCGCAACGTCGAGGAAAATTGTCAGCCTTCTAATTCCGGAATTCCGGCCTATCGGCCAACCCCGCCAGGCACCGAACTCGCGGACATTCCCTCAGCAAGCGCGAGCCACATGCCCGCTCGCCCCCACTCGGGGTGAACCTGCAATAGCGACTCCAACGCGCCCCGCGGGACACGCGGGTATTAGCGGGAGAAGCCCCGCGCGGGGGGTGGAGGGGGGGCGAGGGAAAGGAGGGGCAGCTCCACCGTGTGCCCGCTGCAGCTGTAATGACTAAACAAGAAGCAAGTCGTATAGCGTCGAGGCGAGGGCCCGTGTAATTTCGCCTCTCGCTGCTTTAAACTCGGGCCGCCAGAGGCGGGGCGGTCGCTGGGGACTTCCGGGCCAGAGACGGCGGCGGTTGCGGCGGTGGGGGGCCAAGTCTTTTGTCTTGCAAACTGATTAGCCTACATTAAGCTTTGCAGGTCTAATTTACCTTTATTTGCATGCTACCGCGCCTTTAATACACCTTCGCAGCTCCTGAAAGATATTCGATACCCGCTGGTAAATCATTTGTCCCGAGGAGGAGAGGCGCTTGAAATTCAGGAGGCGGTGTGG